GATTATGACGCCATGAATCTTGCTTATCTCCTTATCTCCATGGTTTTAGGCTGGCTCTTTGTCTAGCCAATAGACTGTTGAGAATACATACATACATACACCCCTCTCCCCATTGACATTCGCCTAGTTGGTGTGCAGTGCCCATACGCATCAATCTGTGTTGGTGTGTGACAATTGGAAAATCGGACTTCCGAATCGTAATTGTGTATCAATCATTTTGTGAGTGGATTGCGATGCGCAATCTCAATGTGCACCGTTATTCTCATTAGAGGGAACCTTGTCCGATTCGGTCAATGGGACCATGTCGGATGAAGCAGGTAGGCGGTGTCCCAGCTTCGCCCGTCTCTCTATTAGCTTTCGCAACTGCCACGTTATTGTATCACCGTAGGCTGTAATGACCCCCAGCAAAACCAGTCTAGATCTATAGCCTATTGTTGCAACATATCAACTACTGAGGAGTGGGCCGATCACACGATGTTCAGGCCACATTGTGGTCACGATAATGTAACCGAACTGCGTACGTAGCGGGTGATTGTGTAAGCCCTTCTCTTGACATGAGTGCCGTTCGCCTCGGTCAAAATCGGTGACCTATTTTCCCCTACACCCCCCCCATAGGAATTCGTGTGTTTTGTCTGGGTGTGTGTACCGACCTATGCAGCGGTACCACTATTGCAGCGGAGCATACGATAATGATTCCACTCAACACAACTTAGCTTTATTAGCTCCGTGCCGCACGAAACGACCAAAATGAGTGACGAACAACAGGAGAGCTGAGTGTCCGACGCGACGGCACTGCAGGCGAACATAGTTTGCGCAAAGAGAAATTCTCACAAAACTTGTGCTGGTCGACGGCAAAACTACTCGGGAAGCCGCTGAAGTCGCCGGTGTTAACGCGAGTACGGCAAGGAACATCATTAATGCCTACAACCGAGAAGGCTCAAATACACAGCGCACCTGCGGTGGAAACAATAGGGAGAAGCTGACTCCCAATGTATTGCAGCGCCTCGAAGAAGCGGTTGAACGGCACTCTGAGGACACGTTGGTGCAACTGCAGATGCACCTGAGAGAGAATGGGATAAACCTATCAGTATCCTCTGTCTTCAACGCCCTCAGAAGACTAAAGATAACTCTCAAAAAGTGTCATTACGAGCTCGACCGAGTCAACAGTGCCACGACAATCGCTAGCCGACAGGCGTGTAATCGGCCCACTCCTCAGTAGTTGATATGTTGCAACAATAGGCTATAGATCTAGACTGGTTTTGCTGGGGGTCATTACAGCCTACGCTGATACAATAACGTGGCAGTTGCGAAAGCTAATAGAGAGACGGGCGAAGCTGGGACACCGCCTACCTGCTTCATCCGACATGGTCCCATTGACCGAATCGGACAAGGTTCCCTCTAATGAGAATAACGGTGCACATTGAGATTGCGCATCGCAATCCACTCACAAAATGATTGATACACAATTACGATTCGGACGTCCGATTTTCCAATTGTCACACACCTACACAGGTTGATGCGTATGGGCACTGCACACCAACTAGGCGAATGTCAATGGGGAGAGGGGAGCGTAGTTCAGAACTTCGGTCGCTGCTCACGATCAAGCAAATGTTTTACAGTGTAGCCCGCTGCTTACACAATGCCGGTGTATTAGCGTCATCACAATGTATATTCTGAACATCATTCAGCAGTCTTACTGCTCGTTTCTTACCAACAAATTGGCGAGTTGCTACTTAGATTGCAACGTGTCCATTTTGTTTTGCAAAATGTCCAATGTGGTTTGCAAAATGTCCAATGTGGTTTGCAAAATGTCCAATGTGGTTTGAAAAATGTCCAATTTAAAGTGAAAATGATATATATATATATATATATATATATATATATATATATATATATATATATATAACAGTGCAATCGGCAGGATGCCACAGCATATGGATAAAGACAATACGGCGAAAAAAGACAGTTAAACTGTAGCCAAGGAGTGGTGTCGCACATGTCCGCCATTGAGTGTGAGTTCCTGTCATGTCTAGTCAAGCGTGTTCGTGATCACTGCGTCTCCGGCCCGGGAGCAGAGAGAGTTCGATCACGACGCCTGAAGCCCGCAGGTGATGTGCCAGTGCTCGACGGCCCGGATGGACAGCCCCTAATCTCTAGCACTGAGCGTGCGTCCGCGTTGGCGGCGCACTTCGCTTCTGCATCTGCAAATGACCAGGTGTCTGTTCCGAGTTCAACGTGTATCGCTTTTACCGAAGTCGACAGTATGGACTGTGGCGTTGAAGAAGTATGTAAACTATTCGCCAGCCTTGACGGTACCAAACCTGCCGGACCTGATGGGATTCACCCACTGATTCTCAAGTCACTTTCGGCCGTAATCTCTCCTGTCGTGAATGACCTTTTCAACAGCTCGCTGTCCGAAGGTTTGTTGCTGATTGACTGGAAATGTTCGGTAGTGAGGCCTTTTCCAAAAGGCAGCGACCCTAGCCAAGTAGATGACTATAGGCCACTTTGTCTGACACCTATTTTGGCAAAGGTTGCTGAGAAAATCGTAAAAAAGGGATTATTGCAGTTGCTACAGTCAAAAGAGGTCCTGACGCCCGCACAGCACGGTTTTATGCAAGGCCGCTCATGCATTACAAACTTGCTTGTGACGAGACATGAGTGGCTGAAGGCAATAAGCAAGGGGAAGTCTGTCGATTTCAGTAAACCGTTCGACAAGGTCAGTCAGGAGGTCCTCCTTCACAAAATCACGGTGTGCGGTGTCGGTGGCTCACTGCACCGGTAGATCCGCGACTTTCTTGTTGGACGAAAGTGGAGGGTACAGGTCGACGACCATCTAACTGACTGGAATCCCCCTACAAGTGGCGTGTCTCAAGGTACTGTGCTAGGGCCCACTCTGTTCTCGATTCACATCAACGATCTACCGCAGCTTCTCCGGTCGCCGTGTGCCTTGTTTGCGGATGACATGAAGATTTGGAGAGAAATTGACGCTCCGGACGACTGTGGCGTACTTCAGCAAGACATCAACCGCCTATCCACATGGTCTGCAGAAGTTCATCTCTCGGTCAACCCAGTCAAGTCTGTATTTATGAGTCTGGGGAAGGGTGCTGACGGCCGAATCTACACCCTTGACGGCCAACAACTATATCCCACACCCTACATGAAGGACCTAGGTGTACTCTCACGCTACGATTTGAAGTCCGTAGACAACACGAACATGCTATATCGCAACGGACTGCGCATGCTTTGAGCGCTCAAACGTAGCTTCGGCATATGGTCTGAAGAAACTGCCACTCGCCTCTTATCTTCCATCATTAGACAAATGCTAGAGTACGGTTCGCCAGCCTAGTTTCCGATTACCCGAGGCGAGGCACAAAAGATCGAACGGGTCCAACAAGTTGCTACCAGGCTCATCTCGAGTTTACGTGGCTTGGGGTATGAAGATCGGTGCGAGAAACTAGCTCTACACCTTGTCCTACCATCGGGTGCGAGTTTACCTCATTATGACTACCATATTCTACATCTCGATGACTTCCCCATGTTGAGACCGATGCTGCACTTATGAGGGCAATGCAGCACAGGCGGACAGAGATAAAAACTTGTCGTGCAGGACGTGAAACGAGTTTCCCACTCACTGTGCTTCGAATGAAGAGTGGTAAATATTTGGAACAGTTTGCCTAAACATGTGATGGAGGCAACATCTGTGCAGCAGTTCAAAACGTTGTTAGATTTATAGTTATCACTATTCGATTCAGAAAACGATTGCACACTTACAACGAGATGTTACATTTGTGAGTCATGCAATAACGTGAGTCAGATATTTTAAATGTCACATGACAGCAATAATGATATTCATGGCTGACAATTTTTATAACATTTTTCACCATGTTTCGAAAGAGTTGTACAGAATTGATTTTTACTTGCTCTATAATGCAGTATTCCGTGATATCATGCTTTAAGCCAGTCATTCGTTGGCCAACTTGCTCGCACTTTCAGTCGATTTATGAGAGCGAGAAGATGACATGGCAGAGTTACCGTTGAGTAGGCAGGTGAAGCCACCGAAGTCTGTGCAGTGAACTTATACAACTCATTAGCCAGTAGAACCTGTCCGATTTGAAGATCCCCCAACGAATGTCATCGTTGCTAATTTGATGCGGTCATCGCATACTGTCAGTTCATCGGAGGTAATGGTAGTCAAAAATAGACAGCTTCTGGACATATTTTGTGCGAACGGGCCAAGCCTCGCAACTGTACAGAAGAACCGCATTATCGATTGTGAGAGAGAGGCTGACATCACGTCGGGACCAGAGATGACGATTAGTAAAAGAGACTCGATCTTTAAAAACGTGAAAAGAAGCCTCGCTCGGCAAACAGCCAACGTTAGGACAGCTCCTTAGGCAAACGAAACGACCAACGACTTCCAAAGGCTAAGGGCAAGAGCAGCTCTTGGCCAGATTTGTAAGATCCTATATCTAAAGAGGACGTAGGCGATTCTGAACTGGCAAACAGAAATCTCCAACCTACGCAGTACAATTTTAGTGGCCTGCGAAGAACCGCAAATTACGGCAATGTCTCTAGCAAACTTAAAATCGAGAAGTCGGTCCCCCGGAAGCAACTCGATGTCCCTAGGCTAACAATTGTCCAGAGAACTCTCCAGGACGTCATCCATAGCAAACTTGAATGGGAAAGAGAATGCTGCGCAATCCCATCTCACATCACTGGTGATACCGATAGGGGTGAAACCTCACCGCACAACTACTCTCGGCTCAAATTTCGAGAATAAACCGCTTGAAAAAGGTTAACACTTTCCAGGCACCCCTTCTCAAGATGAAGAATACAATATCGAACTCGAGCACGTAAATCAATAAGGGGGAAAACCGGAACATTCACGAAGCAATCAGGTGCAGAATGCACTGGGATTAAAATGAGTCGGAAGTAAACACCGCATAAAGCGCAGTACAATGGATAGGTGGCATGGAAGAGCTAATTTACGGACGCACCTGTTCGGCCCCTTCCACAGACGGAACTGAGCGCTGGTCACGCGTGGTTTCGTGGACTTCCCGATGGATGGGGACCCGTGGGAGCCAATGGGCTCCTGAGAGTACACCTGTTGTACAAACTCTGCTATCAGATCAAAGATTAATCGACGGCTAACGAAGCGGAGGTCAGGTGTGGAGTGTAGGGTGGAATCGAGATCTACGGGGGGGGGGAATCAAAGAAAGAGTGTGGAACAGGAACAACAAGCAAAAATCGCATTAATGCCAAGGCGTACAAATTGGATTAGGATATTGGAAACAAGAAATATTCATTATCATCTCAGATAAGAAAACCAGAGGACGCAGATGGTGGGATGACCTCGTCGAAGCAGTGCACGTCCCATTGTTTACATAGCTTATAGCTGTGAAGACAACAACGTGACGCATTGATCAAGGTCGCATGCGGTCTCACTAACCCTGATCTCTGGTTTAATCTGAATTTTCAAGTTCAATTTTGCCGTACTTTCGCTTGCTGGTATTCATTCGATCGAGCTCGGCGCTCACTTTCCAGTGAACCCAGTCTTTCACATGTATCTTCTGCGGATTATCATGTATCATCAGTTATCAAATGCGGTCCATTCCCAGCTAAGACGCACGCGCACTACCCTATCATTTCAGATTCTTGTAAGACTATTTTTGTTGTCTTCCGAAGGACAACTTCGATTTACCCAAGGAGACTATACGCCAGCGATCGCTTAAAACGCTTCAACTTCTGTCGTCATTATCGCTATGACCTGCCTACAAAAAACGCGAACCGGTTTCGCACCGGTTATAATCCGCTTGAGATGTGTCATCACCTTGGCTCGGTCGATAAGCCCTGCGACCAAGGAGCGCAAACGAACTTGACGTGAATCTGTTAACGTAGCGTTCCACCAGTCTGTAGCGCGAAAATTCAAATAATAGACGAGAAAAGAATAATTCCCTTAACATAAAGGTTTGTTGTTCCATTTCCAGCAATACACTATTATATTATGTTACTTTACTGAAGTTAAACCCTTAAAGTTGTTCAGTATGCAATTGAATAAGAGAACACAATCTGGTGTGTGAATGCAAATTAGTGCACCGTTGCGATGGATGAAACAGGGTAAAAACGGATATTTTAGATGAATGCATGACTGCCATAGTGAAAGATGTGGGTGTATATGGCCGCGAACCCCTTGATAGACGTATACGCTGCGCTGCACCAGCCGGGATTTAGGAATTACGGCCAAAAAACCAGAAATTTACCCTTTATTTACAAAATCTGAAATCGTTCACAAAAACAAAAATAAAGGGTTCACAGAAACACGAAGAAAAATTAATGCGTCACGCTGTTGCCCAAATTTTAAATGTCAGTTAAAGTTGTTTTTACACCAATAAGTTTATAAATAGCCCTTTCTTATGTCCGTTTGAAATACAGACTGGTGCAACACTAGCAACTGCTAACAGTACGTTTTGTCCACCTGCCTCTCTATATTATTACCTGGGCAAACGGATAAAGTCTCTAGGTCACTAACTGCTTATGTTTTGTTCAATCTCACACAGTTTGTGGTCACGAAATTGGCAGTTAGTGTAGTTGAATTAATCGTTGCAATTAATCGTTGTGGCTGTGGTTACTGGTTTGTTTCACCCTAATCCATCTGAAGTTGTTGCTCCTCAGCCGCTTGCAAATCTGGAAAGAAAAAGTTATCATCTCATGGCAGCCGTAAAAAAACGCGTTCCATGAGAAAGAAAAGTGCCTCAGTTAGACTATCGCGATGATCAGTATCACGGAGGTCGCAGCAAATGCTAATAATCCCATTTCTTGCAGCATACAGGATAAGAATGAATGTTCGGGATTGCAGGATAGAAGGAATGTGTTTGACAAGAGCCGTGATACATTTGAAAGAAAGCTTAGCAGCTGTTATACCCCCGGGTTCTTATCATGGAGTCACTTGCACTTGTCCACTTATCTAACCCACCTTCCAATCCGTCATCCGACCACCTACAAATCGTCAGTAACCTTATTGCGGTGATTTCCACTAAAGGGACTGAACGGATTATCCGTGCAAGTAATGCTATGTTGTTTAATGCCACAGAAAGGCTACCTCGTAAAAAGCTGAATCATGTTACTAAACACCACCTGTCTTCATACTGAGGAGTACCTTGCCGTACGCTTAAAACAGGGGATTTAAGTAAAAATGACCGGTGCTACTGAAACTCAAAGATGCCGAAAGCGCAAAATTGTTAATATGGAATATGTCAAAGATAAGAGCGGCAACTGAAGGTAAGAATATAAGTACAAATGCAAATAAGACGTGAGCGGATACATAAGCATGTTCCAAAAAAACCGAATAACGCATCCGACCCCACGTAAACTGAGTTACGGACTGCATAAGAGTAAAATATCCACTCGAATATTCACTGCGCAGCTGACCTACATGACTCCGCGGCTACAGCTGACTGACTACCAACACAACCGATCTTCAGTAGCAATGTCACTCCCATCCAGACATCTAATACTATCACAAATAGTACTATCCTAACGGGATTAGCGTTAGCGCCGACATTATCTACAGATCTACATAGATATCGCTCAAGTTCTCAGCGTATCGCTATCACAGATGGTGTAAGCCTAGACAACATGATCAGCTTCATTGCCACAGAGGATTCCCCCTGGAAGCTGATGAATAGTAATAAAATTCGTACCTCCGTTGGCAGGTTCTGCAGCTTTCCCAACAACAACAACAACAACAACAACATGATCCAGTTAAAGAAGTCGGCACCTCAGAGCACTCATGACATTTCTGATACTTTTCCAGTAAAGATGTACTAAGAAGTCTTACTGAACACTCCAATTTAAACGAGAGATTACTAGCGGTTAATAGGCTAACACAAAGACGAACCGATTATCCCAACCCTATGGAGATTTCTTTCTAAGCGGTCCGCCATGAATGCCGTGCAAAATCAACGCGCTCGACTCCGCCGACTAATACCGTAGGAAGGATGTAACCTTTAGTTATCCATCTACTTCTAGCTCAATAGGCAAGCCGGCAATATTTCCTACAATACCATCCACCCAAGCCTGAGAACGAAGGCTGCAAATAGTGTCCCAAACGACGTCCAGACGTTAGAGTCCCATTCATACTAAGCTCTTTTTTGAGGTTTCAATTCATGTAAGATGCCCATTTCTGTGAAGCCCAAAGTGGAAACTAAAGTGGTAATCTTTCGGCAGACAATTGTTGCGATTAAGTCATCATCAGCTCGTCACAATAATAGATGCTAAATTAAAACAGGTTCATTACTGTACAACAGAGTAATTGATTAAACGGTGTAAAATATTTTCTCGACATTGGTCAGGTGATCAGGTCATGAATGTCCCCCCCCCCCTTTTGTAAGTGACTGCCCAAGGCAGTTGTAGCGATTGAACCATCTTCTTTTGGATGCATAAGTATAGATTCATCAGTCTTATGTATATCGCCTCCGCGGTAGCAAGCAGACGATTCCTTATTCGGTGGTTCGGATGTGTTGGTACTTTGTATACGATGTCAAAAACGGTTTGTTTGTCAAGTTGGTGTCCGGTGTCCATCGGATGGTTTGTTATTGAACTGGAGTTGACTCCGTCTGCCTGGGGAAATGGTCTTTGATTCGCTTACTTGGACTTTGAATCTAGGAACAGAGACTGGCTCGAATAAACCTCATCCAGATCAGCTGCGTTAAAAAACTCTTTCTGTAGCATTGCATCCAGTGTCCGCTGCGTTGTCGCCTTTGAAAGGCATAGTCAAAAATCGTTGCCTCCTTTTGACCGTTTGTGTCTTTAGTTTAGTACTATTATGCTTCATATGAACGTCAATGAAGCGTTCCGGATATCCATTCTCGAGAAGTACTTGTTTGATCCGCCTCAGTTCGTTCTTAATAGCCTCCTCGCTGCAGATGATATATACGCGGTTCGTTAAGGTATGTACTAGCGTTATCATGCGATTGAGGGGGGTAAAGCTGTGAAAATTTATGTAGTGACCAGTTTTATCCGCGAGCCACACGTCAGAAAATCCTAATGAATCAGCACGCCATGCAGTTCTTCCAGCAGATCAGCAACTTAGCTCAAATATGGCTGAAACCGGCAACATTTATTCCGACTGTGTAGTACGTCGGATGATGTCTTTTGTCCAACTATGCACAAGCGGTCAGTAAATCTACCGACACAACAAGGATATGTTCGATTAGTTCCCTTAAATGCTCGGTTCCACAACAACAAAATGCACCACCTACGCTCTCTAATGTACCTACCCTGTCCCGATAATTTACTTGTCACGGAGACTCGCGGGGAAGCGGACATACTTCTGATACTGTCCGTTGAGCTTCGTAATTGGTTTACAGACGTTTCATCACCAAATGAGGTGACTTCCTCAGTGCGCTACTGGGTTAAATGCAGTTCGCTGATTTGGTCGCCGATTTGTGATCGACCATCAAGTGACTTTTGAATTGACCTCCTCGAGCTGCGCCCTGTGATCGTCGCCCGTTTCACTAGGTTTCTGATAGATTCGGACGATGCGTGAGATGATCTTACCCTGATTGTAAGAGTTGTGTTGTTGATGGCTCGTTTGGTTACCCACGACAGTTTTTAAGCCGTTTTAGTTCTCTGCATCTTAACCTATGCTAAACTGGGTCATTGTCGATGTGCGTATAGTACTCGATTGTGGACGAGGGACAGCTCATTAGTACATTAATGAACATTCTCATGCATGAGTGCAATAACTATTCTGGAGCCTATGTATCAGAGTACCTTGCAGAGATGGTAATGCAGAAAAGTGAAGAGAATGTGCTGCTCATACTCAACCCAAAGTTGTGGATCCGATAGGTCGATGATACATTGGTGATACTGAAATGTAATCAAGTATAGGCTGCATACTAGTTGCTCAATAACGCCATTGAAGACATTCATTTTACGACGGAATCGGAGGTAGAAGATCAGCTCCCATTCTTGGATGTGTTAGTCACCAGGACGATTGAGAAAGAGTTGCAAACATCGGTTCACAGGAAAGGAACACACCGACCAGATTCCGAAGTACTACAACAACCCCACGAAATATCACAAGCTGCGTGCAAACTCATTTACGTAGAATTGAAACACATTGCAGCATTCATGAGGCAAAGCGGAAGACATATTGTACGGATCGTTTCATCTAAATGGTTATCCACCTA